GGTGCCCACCAAAAAGCCCAGCTATTTTCTTTTTTCTTTTTTTTTTTTAAGAAATGAGGCCTCGCTCTTGCTCAGGGTGGTCTCAAATTCCTGAGCGCAACCAATCCACCTGCCTCTGCCTCCCAAAGAGCTAGAATTACAGGTGTGAGCCATGATGCCCAGTCACAAACATTCTTTTAAAAATATTTTTTGTAAACATTTATCTTAGGTATGTACCTAGTACCACCAGTCTGGATGATAAGGTAAGTATACATATAGTTAAGAAACTGCCATGCCCAGAAACGTTAATGTGAGCTCTGGTTGTGCCATATGCTTGAAAAAACTTAGTGTTATCAGTTTTTTAAACTTAGACATTCTGACAAATCTGTAGGAGCAACTCATTGCAATTTTAATTTGATTACTCTAAGGTTTGTTCAAGAGCATGTTTTGATTCTCTAATTTTTTTTATATTTCCTTATTTTATTTTATTAAATCATAACTGTGCATATTAATCCATTTATGGGGCACAATGTGCTGATTTTATATATGCAATTTGGAAGGCTTACATCAAACTAGTTAACATAGCCTTCACCTCACTCACTTAATTGTTAAGACATTTATATTCTACTCTTACTACGTCTGACATGTCCCCTTGCAGTATGCACCATAGATGAGGTCCCACTGATTGCCCTCCCTTCTCCCCTCCCCTCAGTTTGCCCTTTCCTCCTTCATTCTGGGCTATAGTTGTGTTTTATCTTTCATATGGAAGTATAGGTGATTATATATTAGTTTCATAATAGTACTAAGTACATTGGATACTTTTTCTTCCATTCTTGAGATACTTTACTAAGAAGAATATGATCCAGTTCCATCCAAGTAAACATGAAAGAGGTAAAGTCTCCGTCTTTCTTTAAGGCTGCGTAATATTCCATGGTATACATATACCACAATTTGTTAATCCATTCCTGGGCCAATGGGCAGTTCGGCTTCTTCCCTGACTTGGCAATTATAAACTGGGCTACAGTAAAATTACAGTGCAAATATTTTTGTTGTAAAATAATTTTTGGTCATTTGGATATATACCTAGTAGATAAACTGTAGGATCAAACAGCAAGTATACTTTTAGTTCCCTAAGTGTTCTCCAAACTTATTTCCAAACGAAATGTATTAGCTTGTATTCCCACCAGCAGTGCAGAAATGTTCCCTTTTCTCCACATCCACACCAACATCTGTAGTTTTGGGATTTTGTTATGTGGGCTACTCTTACTGGAGTTAGATGATATCTCAAAGTAGTTTTGATTTGCATTTCTCAGATGATTAAAGATGAAGAGCATTTTTTCATGTGTCTGTAGGCCATGTGCCTGTCTTCTTCAGAGAAGCTTCTGTTCAAGTCTCTTGCCCACAACGAAATGGGATCACTTGTTCTTATTAATTAGTTTGAGTTCTCTGTGGATTCTAGTTATCAAACCTTTGTCAGAAACATAACCTGCAAATGTCTTCTCCCATTCTGAGGGCTGTCTGCTTCCTTTACTTACTGTGTTCTTGGCCGCGCAGAAGCTCTTCAGTTTCATCAGATCCCAGTAATATATTTTTGGTGTTGCTTCAATTGCCCAGGGGCTCCTCCTCATAAAATATTCTCCCAGGCCAATTTCTTAACAAAAGTTGATTCTCACTGGATAAAAGATTTAAACTTAAGACATGAATCTAATTTTGATAATACATGTGGCTTATATGATGTGGTGTTTAAGACTTTATGGGGGAAAAAAGGAAAATCTCTCTTAAACATATAAGAAACACAAGCACTACGAAATATTTTAATGTAACTTAATACCTAAATTTTATACCTAGGCAGAGATGAAAACAGATAACATGAATATTAAAGCAATAGTTTTTGAATGTTCATTTCATTCGAGGTTGTGAAAAATTCATTGTACCAAAATCATTGATTAACTCTATATAGAATCAAAATATAATGAAGTTTGATATAAAAACATTGACAAGAAATATTTGAGGTATCACAAATTTCATGGTCTTATTTTGAAGTTGTAGAAATATAACTTAAAATGCTTTTCAACCCCCAATTTAAATGTTATGTGAATTATGTTTAATATAACTGCACTTACCTTGTTGACAGAATTAGAATAATTTCCTTGCCTTTTAAAGACCATCAGATTCTATTTAGTATACCACTCTTTCTAATGTATGAAATAATTTTCCATAATTGTAAAGTATTTAAACAAGATGAATAAGTTAACAAGTAATTTATCTCTTTTTCTACAGGAAAGCCAATTCTCTTTTTGTTCTTATTCTTCCTCCTCTGAAATTATATTTATTCAGGATTCTTAGAGAATATATAACTATGTTAGATGAAGTTTAGTTTATAAAAACATTCTCATTTTATGATTTGATAGTCCTTGTATGTGTTTTTAATTACAAAGAACAAACGCTACAATAGAAAACCTTTTTTCCCCCAAATATACTCAACATTTTTGAAATGCTAAAAACATAACTTTAGTTCAACAGAAATTGAGTTCTCTTACAGAGAAAAGATTTATTCATCTATTCAACTATCATTGATTTAGCATCAATCTTGTGTTAAGTGCTTCATTAGGAGGTAAGGATACAAATCACGTGGTCTTTCTTTTGAAATAACTGCCAAGGTCACGGGTAGCAAAAGTTGAAAGGAAGTATAAGAGCCATTCGCTTGGCTTCAGAAGTTGCAATCAAGATACAGTCAGAGTTTAGCATTCAAGAGCGCATGTAAGTAATGGTAACAATGAAAGACAAAAGTAGGTGGAAAGAAGGCATGAAGCAACAGTTACAGAAGCCAGAGATGACACCAAGGGGTTTTACCAAAGACAGACGAAAATATGAAAAAGAAAAATAAACATAAAGATGGGGGCAAAGATCGTAAGAGATCAGATGCAGTTACAGCAGTAAAGTGACTATGACATTGAGGCAAAATTCTCCAACAATTCTAGTTTCTAATACCATACTCTGCAGAAGCGAGGCCGTCCAGACTTTGGGACAACCGGTATTATACTTTATCTCCCCACTAGACTGTGAGCTCCGTGATGCATGTGCACTACCAGAGCAGTGGAATACCTAACATCTAATAGGCTCTCAATAAAGGTTTGTTGTATGAAAAAAAATACTAGTAAGTGAGATGGCAGCATCCCAATTCCAAACACTGCTACTGTTTTCTCCACATCTTTAGTATGTGGAGAAAATGCTCTTGTCTTCCTGAGTTTTTATTTAAAAATTTCAGAATAAGGTAACACGGTTTTTGTTAGTGATATGAATGTTACAATAAAACTACTGAATAGTCTTTGTAAATATTTCTGTTGAAAATATAATTATATTTAATTTATATAAATTTTTACAACTTTCAACTTAACACTAAAAAATGGGATGACAGTATCTTTACTTTCTCCCTCAAAGAGCTAGTAAGCAAAAATCCCTGAGGCATAAAGGTGCAGCAGACTGAAGAAAATGTAAGATTATTTATGACTGTTTGAGACATGGAAAAAGCACCTTATTAATGATAAATTTTAGATTAATCTCAATCTACATGCCATTTTGCAAAAAAAGGCTTTTGCATATACAAGCAGAACATAACATTTATGGATATATTAGTTTTATTCATAACTATACTAATAATGCAGTGAGAAAATCTGCTTTATATCACAATTAATATATGAAAATGTGAACAAAGACCACACTTTAATTTTTTTGTTAAAGCTAAGGAATAAAACAAAAATCCAATAATACACTTCAGTCTTTTATTAAGCTTATCTGGTCCAATTAGCTCAGTCCAGATAGAAAACTGAGCTATTCAAGATAGAAGGAGAAGTTCAGAGCTGACGCAGGCCTATTATACATCAATTCAGATGACAGCACCAACTATGTGCTATTCTGACCAGTCTTTCTCCAAGTGCCATTGTTAATTACGAGTTGAACATACAGAACAGATAAATAGCTCAGACGAGTGAAGTGGGTACCACTTCACAAAAACACAACTCAAAGCTCGACCTACTGACAAAACATCAATAACAAACCTTCCAGAAGAGAACAAGTTATCTATCCATATATTTAATAATTATTAAAACATGTAACAAAGATAAAATTCCTCATAGATAGAGACACATGTTCTCAAATATGTTTATATTCTTACACTGTTTTCTGTAGGATTGTTTATAAGATATACACAGTTTAGCATAAAAAATAAAACCATCCATAACTGATGAGACAATTTAAATAATATTCGATGCTATTTATGTTCAGAGAATTCAATCTTTAAAATACCAGTGTAAAAGTATGGTTTTTCACAATTTTTTTTTCTGTGCGTTGGATCAACTAAAAAAGAGTGAGCTAACACATGAGGGGCAGTCGCAGTGGGCACTATCAGCATCCTGCCTGTAGTCCTTTGCTGTTTTGATCTATCACAATATTTTATACCCCCCACAAGGAAAGGGAGAAGGTGAGCAGTTAAGTCACAGTGGCAGTGGCCAATGTAAACTCTGCTACTCGTTTAGCAACACATCAAGTTAGCTTTTAATTCTGTGGCAAAGAGTTCCTGACATTCTTATATGATGACTGACAGGGTTCTTAACAATGTTTTCATTAACATATTCTGAAGAAAATTAGATTTACCATTGATGATACACTAGCTACAAACTGTTTCTATTTCCCTAGTGGTATTACATATTATATGTAATGTTATAGTGGTATATAAAGCTGAAAACACAGTTTCTGCTTGTATGTTTAATGTGTTAGCCATTAAAGCTTTTCAAGCAACACAAAAGCAATACTGATCCTAAAAAAGTATTACATAGTATGTCGTGTGTGTTGGTGTGTATATATGCATGTGTATATGCATTTGTGACAGTCTTTACATGAGAGAGAGTATGTACTTCAAATTACAAACAGAATTCCTTCTTACTAAACACCGAACATAATTCCTGATTCCTATATTAAGATGAGTTAAATTTTAGAATATCAATGTTTAGAAAGGCACTTACCACCTGTCCATTGTGTGGATTCTTATGAGCATATGGAGGTCCCCGGATATGGTTCCACATCTGGCCAGAAGTCATGGCAAAGACTATACACTGAATAACAGGGTACCATGTTTCAATATTTAAACCAGAGAATGCCAGAATATTGCACTTTTAAAAAATAACGATCATCATAAAATTACCGTTTAAAAATCATGTATCAGTTCACCCATTAAAAAATGTCTCACTTACTAACTGTGGAACTTTCAGTAAGTTACTCATTTTTCCTGCATCTCATATTCCATTATCTACAAACTTGGGATACTAATTCTGATAAAGAGATACATTAATAACTAAATTAGATAACATACATAAAACATCTGGCACTGGTGACAAGCTGGTATTATGTGCCCATTTGAGCCAGTCAAAAGCACCAATGAGACATTTGATGAATTAGTGATATTTTAAAGCACATGATAACATCTCCTATACTCTCTAAATTTCATTCTTACATTAGTTTGGATCACCCAAAACCTATATTCTTGGATTATAATACTTACTTGTCTGTAAGGACCTAAATGCTTTCCAAAAAATACACAGCATAGTAAATTCAGAAGATATTTACAGACAGAAGAAATCACAAAAAGACATAGCCAGGAAAAATTCACAAAGATTATTTATATGTCTGCTGGATCTACTGGAAAAAGCTGTATTTGGAAAACTAATCTTGGTGATTCGAGGCATTACAAGGAAATTAGGAGAGACAGTGGATGAACCAAAAGTCACATTTCAATCAGTATAACTTATGTGTAAGCATGTTTTGTTTAAATCACAGAATATTTTTAAATTAATAAACTGGGATACCGTTAGACTTACATGTGTTCTTCAGGCTAAAACAGTACCCAGCACTTCCTGCTGTCCTACAACTCGTCCAATCACTCTTCACTTCAACTGCCTGACCCTGGCAGGTTCGTTGTGTCAAGAAAGGTTCAAAGCAAGGAAGGATAAGCAATACAGGATGGAGGGTCTAAACATTCTTGGTTTGTATAATTTTTAAAGGGGAAAAAAGTACACAGAAGGGGAAAAGTAAGATGGGAGCAAATCACGAGGAAATTTAAGCCCAGAGAATAAATTTAGATTCTGTTCTAACTGCTTGGGAGGCAAGGTGTTTCAAAGGAAATGATAACGCCCTAACACCTTTAGAGAGATTAATTTGAATCCTCTTTCCACTTGGAGTTTAACTCTGAAATCAACTCACACTTCATACAAGTCAGATTTGACTTATACAGATTTAGCTTAAGTTGAGATATTTTCTGAGACTCCGAATTTTATAAAATATAATATCACCTTACAAGATACACTAGAATGTTAGGTTCAGGGTAGGCACAGAGAATGATCTACCATCTAAAAAAATCACTTAAAATTTAAAATCGTGAAAAAAATAAATTCTATATTTAATTCACAAGAATATAATTTCAGCAAATTTATAGAGTATATATATTAAAGTTGTTTACTTATGCTATAGATAAATGCAGTGTTTTAGGCGATGTATGTTAAAATCCAGGAAACCTATTTTTCTTCTCCTTTTTGTTTGGTTTTTTGTTTTGTTGTTTTATTTTTGGCTCCTCATTTGGGATACTCACATACTTAACAGATTGATTTTTTTTTTTTTATTGCAAGTGTGAAAGAAAGTTTATTAAGGAAGAGAAAGATAAAAATTACAGAGCAAGGGCAAGATGTCGGTTTATAGAACAAGATACTCAGACTGAAAATATTTTAAAATAGCAGTATCCACCCCAAAACCTTCAGTGCTCTTAAGACATACCACTGGCATGTTTAAAGCACTTTGTCCAGTAGTTTATCACAGAGTTGAGAAGGCATAAAACCAGTATTCTAAAATTGATCAAAATGAACATACATAAGTCAAGACTTCTTTTTTCTTTTTTTTGAGACAAAGTCTCACTATGCCACCGTCAGCAGAGTGCCGTGGTGTCACAGGTCACAGCAACCTCACCACAACACCCTGCTATGTGACAAATTTTTAAAAAGTTGGTTTTGATGTTATGTTATACAGAAACATTTTATTTACACTAAATCTATATACTGCCTTTGTAAGAAAAAAGGTGTGAAGTATCTTTCTTGCCCTATAAAAAAGCTTCTAAGAAATAAATATTCAATTTCCATAGAAGGAAATTATACATTGAGGATAAAATTATTAATAACTACCACTGATTTGGATTGAGATTAGCAGTGGCATGGATCCAGGTCCCACATCTTCTCAGTGAGTCTTATGGATCCAGGTCCCGCATCCTCTCAGTGAGGCTTATGGATCCAGGTCCCGCATCCTCTCAGTGAGGCTTATGGATCCAGGTCCCGCATCTTCACAGTGAGGCTTACGGATCCAGGTCCCGCATCTTCACAGTGAGGCTTACGGATCCAGGTCCCGCATCTTCACAG